AGATAGATAGATAGATAGATAGATAAGGTTCTAGTCACATTTCTAATTCTCTGCCAAAGTTCACATTTTTCTTACTATATAGAAAGTTGAATCCTTGGACCAGCCTTGTTCATCACTCCTTAATGTACCCTCTCCGACATACCCAACTTCATGAGGAACTTATTTTGTTGTATACTATCAAAGACACTGGTTTAACCTGGGTTAAAATCCTGTAAGTACCATGTTTACCCTCACAGCCCTCTCTCTTCTCCATATACCTCCTTATTTTTCATAGATCTCTCTCTCTCTCTCTCTCTCCCATTCTTCATCTTGGTTCTAATCCAATTTACCTCAGAAGTACAACCCCTATGATCCCTTCACCACCATATCTCTCTCTCTCTCTCTCCCTCTCCCCACCATTCTTCATCTTGGTGCTAATCCAGTTTACCTCAGAAGTACAACTCCTATGATCCCTTAGCCACCACAGCTCCCAATTAATGAATATTTGGAGTCCCCCATCAGTTACAGTGTACAGTAATTCAAGACATGTACATTTCTGAATGCAGCTCACTGAAAAATTGTGTCAGAATTATTTTTGTTCACAGTTCAGAAAGAATAATTGTGAGGGTCCCCAAATTATTTTTCTGTGTGCCACATGGCTATATTTTAAGTTAGACCACTCCAAAGATATCCTCCAAATTTATGAAAATCCATTCAGCCATTTAAGGCAATATAGGAGGGGTGTAATTGAGGGCCTTTAAAGTGATTTTTGAGCATGGCACATTGCCCGTTTTTCAAGTCAGATCATCCAAAATGTATTCAAATCTGGTGAAAATCTGTCACCATTTTCATGTCATGTGGTAACAAGCAAACTACATAAACTCACTTTCATTTATTCAGATGTATATATGTGAATTTCTATGTCTGTGAGGGGGGTGTTATATGGGCAGCCTAGCAATTATCTTGCTGGGCCATATATGCTCAAGTTTACTAAATAAATTTAAAGGCCAAACCATGACCTGCATATGTGACATCTTTCATAAGTCTCTGAAGGTCTTTTAAAGAGGAGATCAGTACCAGTTAAGGGTAACTATAAATTTATAATCTGCCCTGCTTTGAGACCCTTAAAATGTCATATATTACAACAGAGAAAGTTATGTTGGTAAGAGACTAGAGAGACACAAAGATCTCACAAAGTTATCTTTAAGGCTGGAGAGCTTGCACACCATCTCCCCAGAAGAAACAGGCCCAAAGCACTTGTGTTACCGTAGCAACTGTGCACATCTTATGCTCTCAGACTATATAACCATATCACTCTATAGAAGTTCCAAATATTAAGCCACAGAGGAGCACTGCAAGGACTGGTAATGCTTGTCCACCCTATCTGTTAACTTGAATGCCATATCTCCCATTATCTTGTCATTTTACTCCGCACAAGAATCACACAGGACTGAAATTATTATCCGTTTAGTTCATATACATGAGGTACTCTGGGGAACATTTTGCACATAACACAAAGGAAAATTCAGGTTTCCCACAGAGCTTATATTCAATACCAAGTCACCATGGTTATGTTCCATGAGCTCCAAATACACATATTCACAGGAACTCACAGTAATAGACAAATTAATATAGAAAAAGGGGGAAATCTCAGTCATAACCCATCCCTGACCAGACAGCTTCATCCTGTTAACAACTAATTTACTGAGTGACAATACAATCACATAAGAAATTTCTTTTTACTGACAGCTACAGAAGACAGAGACGTGGTGGTGCTGTGGGTTAGACTACAGAAGCCTCTGTGCTGCAAGGTCAGAAGACCAGCCGTTGTTAGATCGAATCCACGTGATGGAGTGAACTCCCGTTGCTTGTCCCAGCTCCTGCCAACCAAGCCATTTGAAAGCATGTAAAAATGTGAGTGGATAAATAGGTACCACCATGGTGAGAAGGTAACAGCATTCCGTGTGTAG